CCCTCTCTCCCCTCCCCTTTCTTTTCTTTCCTTCACCTTTTTACAGTTCTGGGGATAGAACGCAGGGCCTTGTGAATGTTGGGCAAATGGTCTTACCACTGAGCTACATCCTCAGCATTAACCGGGTATTACCAACCTGCGCAAGTATGCTGAGCTGCAGCATGCCCCGGGAGCAGTTTGGAGGACTTTCACAGACTGGTGTTATTTTGCAGCAGTGCCAGTGGTAGACCCCTACATCCCTGCTCTCCACTTGGCCTGACTCAGAGCCCTGGCTTCCCTCACTGTCCCTTCACCATCTATCTGAATAATGCTGAGTCAGATTTTTGGATCAGTGAGGCTCTTTGCTGAAGCATCAGCACCCATGACACCAATCCTATACGCAGTACCCAGCATCTACTCTGGAAATGATTTTGAATGAATAAGGGCCTAGGAAAATGTTTCAGCATTTGATCACAATTGTGATTTTTTTTTAGTGCTAGGTATGGGTCCCAAGCCTTGCACATGCTAGGTAAGCACTCTACCACTGTACTGCATCCTCAGTTCCTTGATCACTACCTTTTTTAAAAATAACATTTTCTTTTTTTTTATAAATATTTTATGTGTATGAGTGGTTTGCCTGCATGTATGTAAGGGCACCATGTTCATGCAATGCCCTGCAGAGGGCAGAAGAGGGCGTTAGATCCCCTGGAACTGGAGCTATGGACGGTTGTTAGCCACCACGTGGGTACTGGGAATTGAACCCAGGTTCTCTGGAAGAACAGCAAATGTTCTTAACTACTGGGCCATCCCTCCAGCCCCTTGCTCTTTACTTTTTGACAGACGTTATCTGTCAAAAGAAGTTATCTGATGTCAAATACCTCCATTTAAAAAATTTAGCATTACTGTGGCGAAGGCAGTGCTCACCTATCTCCTCCTTATGGAGGCGATTCCACAGCATCTGGAGAGAAAACTCTCGTGACACTGAGGTGACCTTGTCCAGAGCAGAGAGCCCCTCCAGGGGCAGATCCAGCAGGATCCTGTCTGCGATCAGGATTATGTCCTCAGCCTCAGGCTGCCCTGTGTATGTGGAAATGACAGTGGCTCAAACATGAGGGGAGACCAGCTCCCGAGGAGAGGACATGTGCTGGGGGCTTAGGCTTCATTAAAGTCAGGTGGGTAACTGTCCGGGACTGCTGCCCTTGGCATGGAGATGGAAAAAAGTAGGACTCCAGCCCAGCTTGCAGAGACAAGGGGACACTGGAGACATGCTGGGGCCCCTGAGGGGAGCTCTGGTTTTGATGATGAGATCGAGCTTACGACATGAACCTGATGGAGCCTACACATAGTGGCTCACATTATAGGATGTCACATCTCGAGACATTTGATTCCTAAGGCAGAGCATGTAATACCCAGGCTCTTTTGACCAGGTGCCTTCCCAGGGATAATTCCTCCCTGGGGGCTTTACAAGTAGTGACTCTTTTAGAGGATCCTGGGAAGAAGGCATCACTTTCGTGACCCAACTGGCAGTCTTTTTGTGACCATGGGTATGGGTCACTAACTGGTGAGGAGCTGCTTCTCTGCAGAACCTAGTACTTGAAGATGAGGCCGCAGACACTTCTAGATTTTCAAAACCAAAATAGGCCTCGGGGAATGACTGGCTTGCCCACAGAATGTGAAATCCGAACACGCTTCCCTAATTTCTGCAATAATTCTGAACACCCCCAACCCATCCAGGCTTGACCCATTCGCAATCATTAGCTCTCAGGGTACTGCGTATCTAGCTCAGCTTGGGGAGGAAACTTGTGGCACTTTTGGAAATCAAAGCTCTTTTTCAGCAGGGCAAGCCGCCCCTTTACCCTCTGTCAATAATTCTTTGTGGGAATAGAAAAGCAGACAAAATTTAAGACAGGAAATGGCCTTCTAAAGGAGGCGCTGGTAAAACCGTAGAGAAGGGAAAGAAGCCCTGGTACATACTTCACACTCCCGTCAGTGCTTACGTGAGTGCTTTCTCCTCTCCCCTAGGAGTAGGAAGCAGCAGGGTTGTGCTGACAGTACCCTGGTACCTTGTAGCTAGCAGAGGCCACAGGGCACTGGGGTGGATGGGACAAGACTACTCCCCATGACTGCCTCTGGTGAGTTCCCCAAGGTGGGGCAATAACATCCATGTTTTCTGGAAGCATCAGTCAACTGCCATGTCAGCCTCATTTTCCCACCTGGGACATCATGCTGGAGTGGTAGGTACTGGGCAGAGTACCATTGTTCTTGCTTGTGGGCATCATGTGTGCAGAATTGGCAATTTGCCCAGGAAGGGCAGGCAGGAGACCTTATGAAGGGGAGGAGCGATGGGTTCTATGTAATACTTCCCTATGTGGGGCTTGCTTGGACGTGGGATTTGTGACTCCTGATCCACCTGGACTCTCCCTGATGGGAGGGTGAGGCCCACCCACAAGATCCTGAGGTATCAGCAGTAGCTTGTGGGTCTGTCCTTGCCACTTACCTGAAGGGATAGACAATTTTCTGTCTGGTCCTTTGCTTCTGGATTTCCCCACATCATTCCTAGTCACCAGCATCTGTGTTCTGAAAATCACAGCAACTGTGTTCAGGCTTAAAGAAGTAGAATGCAGAGTACTTGACTTGGGAATCAGGATTCCCATAGAGCCAATGAGTGCTGAGGGGCTGTCTTCACACCAGGGGAACTTCACAGACCATCAGTAAAGCAGGACTTCAGGATGGTCTCACGCTACTGGAGAAAAGTGCCTGTCCTCCATCTCCCATCTTCCTTCTTTCCACACCAAAATAAATTCCAGAGTTGGGGTCTGAGACTTGCTACTCCTCTCACACTATACTCAGACTAAGGGGTTAATGGAGGCAGGGACAGCAGCTCAGCTGGGCTCCAGGAAGCCGCACTCTGGGTCACCGGCCGGCCGGCCACATAGCCTATGCACAGTAGCCTCCAGCTCCCTCCACTGAGACAGCTGCCTGTCACCTGGTGTCAGGAAGCCAGCTGTCCCTAGGAACTTTCAGAGGAAGTGTCATGCTGATACCTGGCATCTGGGAAGGTGAACAGGGGGGTGATGGGCTTCAGGCACTCCTCCATGTGCTCCAGGACGCTGGTCAGCCTCTGCATACACAGGTCTCGCTCCTCACCATACAAGGTATCCAATTTCTGAACCAACCCAAAACCACAGTCTGCTGTCTTGGGGTAACCCAAACCATTACTTGCTGCCCAGAGTGACTGGAGAACTCCAGTCGTGTAACCTCCATTCAGTCAGTAGATTGGGGAGACTCCATGGAAAGAACCAAGCTCTAGACCTTTCAGACAGAGCGTCTGTATACTCTGGTCCTTTCTAACCCAGTGCTCCCAGCAGTTCTCAGGAGATCATCCTGACAGCCTAGTCCTGTTCATGTCCTCTATCAATACCCTGGTGTATCCTCTGGTGGGGAAGGGCCCAGGTCAAGTGACCCTATGCTCAGTAGAGCAGAGGTGGCTAGACCTCTTCTCTGTGGTCAGACTTAAGCCAATGATGAAGAGCTCCCCAACCTTTTATGGGGTCTCACCCTCACCCACCTGGGATCTGAGCCCAGGACCCTGATCTGACTCTACCTTGGAGTCCTGGTTTTCCTGGGATGAGTTGCAGTACAGCTTGGAGACTTGTACCTTAAGTGCTTAGATTCAGGCTCATAGCCTTGCTGTATACCTGGGACTGTGTCTGTTTCTGGAACCATTGTATGCTGGTCAACAATTCTGAGAAAGCAGTTGGACTCATAGTCACCCGCATCACCTTGCAGTGACCTGTGGAAACATACCTGTGGTCCCCACAGGGCTCAGAGCAGAGCCACTGAACGTGTGTGAACAGGTGGGGTTGTAAGAGTCCTTGCAAGGGTTCTCAACCCTGCTGTTCCCAGGTTAAGGCATGTGATAGGGAGGCCCTTTGGGGCACATGCCTCCCACTCCTCCTTGGGTGGCATGAGGGGTTGATGATCAGAAGGCTGGGGCGAAGAGGAAAAACTGGCATCTGACACTTCAGGGAGAGCGCCCAGGAGGCACACAGGCTCCTCTGGACTCCTGGGGAAACATGTTGCCTCTATTTCCTCTTCTAACCTGGGCTCAGTCTCCCCTTGCCCCTACGTCTGAAGTGAGAGGACCTGCTACGTGGTAGGGCTCCCTCATGTCCACTGCAGTCTGCTGGAGGAGCCCTGCTTACACCCAAGCTTACCTCCTACTGGCATCACTTTTCCCTTGGGACCAGGCATGGACTTGGGCTTCTCATAGGCAGCGCCATACAGATAGGACCTATGGGCAGAGTGTGGGTCATAGGCCTATTCCCAGAGGAGGTGCACAGCAAGGCTTGTGGGTCTTAGAGGAGCCTGGTGAGCCAGTTTTCAGCTGGCACCCCATAGGTGCCTGCTCATGTGTACTTTCCCAGGCAGAGGCCTGTGAATCAGTCTATGCAGCCTGAGTACAGCTTGAAATTACAACAGGCTCAGCAGTGGGAAAGGCACCTATCAATACAAGCTGGTTCCCTTGTGCCCATGGAGGTCCATTCTAGGTAGCATAAGCAGGCTGGCTGGCCATTTTCTGATTCTCTTGAATAATCTCCTCAGTCCTCAACATCCAGGCCCGCCCAGACCTGACACAAAGGCCCCATGTGAGCAAGGATCACAGAGTGCCTGCAACTGAACATATTCCTCTGATCATCATCATGGAAATTCACCCAGGGCCCTTTCCAGGAGGGGAGCACTTGAGTGCCCATGCCTGTGAGGTGGGTTAGCTGTGTCTGTCCAACACATTCCCCAGCCGGATATGGCTGCCTCAGGGCTGAGACTTGTAAGTTCGCTGTGGCCATGCCTCCTTCCTAGGCTTCTCAACCAGATGAGGGCACACAATGGTGGGAGGAGGAAATGTCACCTGTCCTTTGAGTGCTGCAGAAAGAGGACCCGGAACATGGGCGGGATCTCATTCAGGAAGTTGAAATGCTGATCCGTGATGGAGAGGCTCTGCCATGCCTGGGTGCGACAGACAGGAGTAAAGGGACACTAGGACACAGGGCACTGCTCTGGAGATGCCCACTGAACTGTAGGCAAGGGTCAGGTAACCTTCCCCCAGGTGGTTTGGGCATTGGGACTCACTGCTACCACAAGGGGGCAGCAGAGGTATGAGAAACTCACTGGCTTCTCTAAAATGTCCAGTCTGTGGTTCCCAGGAGCCCCCAAACTGCCTGCCCTCCCTCCACAGTAAGGCCCTTACCACCTTCTCTAGTTTAGGCCTGGGGGCCTCCACTTGGCCTTGGGTCTTCAAGTCACTGACCTAGCTTGGGATTGGTTGACCCCGACCCCAAGTTCTCTTGCCTCCTGTAGGCCTCGTGGGATTTGTGCATCTGATGGTCTGCATAACTAGATATTGTACACCTCAGGGCCTTCACTGTCCATGGCAGGTGACAAGTGCCAGTCCTGAAGGGGACCCTGCTATCCTCTGTGAGCTGTGGATGCTAAAGGGTTCAAGTCAGGACTTCAGGTTTGTAAAGGAAAGCCATTTTTAGAAAACTCATTTCAAAGAATGTGACAGAAACTCACATAACCCTTATGTGATCAGGCACCCAACGGATTTCACAATGGCTATACTCACAGGGCACATGAAGAGGCAGGCACTGCTGTTACTCCAGCCCCTTCATACAGGGGCTGTGAATTGGCTTCTGCTGGCTGAGGTTGGCTTTTCTGCCTGGCTGTTGGATTCTTCACCCAGGGAACGTGGGTAGCCCTCCTGGGTAGGCTCATGTCCCACTGGCTCTTCTCTTTGCTGCAGGGCATTCCCCTGTGTGGGCATGCCACAACATCCTATCCACTGGCCTCTGAGTGGTTCTGTTTTAGCTGCTGTGAGCGCTCTGCAGTGAGCATTCTAGTGCATATTCTTTGGATACACAGTTGTGGGTTTCTAGCCCCATGGGGAATTACTGGAACAAGCACTCCAAGATGCAGGGAGTCTGCCAAACTGCTTTCTAATGGGTCACACTACTACCTCAACACCCACCGCAGCCATGTGTCTCCCCATGATGAGTTCCCTTTTACTCTCAGCCATTCAGATGGGCATCACTGGGTATCTGGATGTTCATTCCCCTGATGTTCAGTGAGAATACTAAAATGTTACCAACCTTTCAAGGCCTTCTTTTTCTGAAATCCCAGTCTTGTACCCCGTCTCTAGTGTCCATCTTTTAACAAAATTATTTTTACATGTGTATGAGTGTATTGCCTGCATGTACATAAGTACACCCACATCGTGCAATGCCCAAGGTCAGAAGAGGGCATCGGATTCCATGGAACTGGAGTTACAGATGGTTGTTGGCCGCCATGTGGATACTAGGAATCGAACTTGGCTCCTCTACAAGAGCAGCCAGTGTTCTTAACCACTGAGCCATCTTTTCAGCTCCAGTGTCCATCCTTTTTATCCAAAGGGTCCCACATCCTCCCTACATGCAACATGCGAACTCGCTGTCATCTGTGTGCACCCTGAATCATCTTTCCCACCCTGAAGCTTGCATGGTAACTCCCACTGGCACCTCTATGATGAACACAAGTTCTTAATTTCACTGTAGCCCAGTTTAACACATCTTTCCCTTCTGAGATTAGCTGTTTCCATGATGAAATCTCACCAGTCACTCTCATTGCCTGTTGCCTATGGCTGGTGAAATTCCATCACGGTTTTCTTTGACGTACACTAGCTTGATATGGAGGTCCCAATCAGAGCAAAGATGACACTGGTTACACACTGGAAATGTTCTGCAGGATGACACTGTGACTCCACCTAGACCTGAACTGCCCTGGGGCAAGTGAGGGAGAAAAGCCATAACCCTCCCAGGCCCTTGCAGAGTGCTTGGAGTATGGCCCTTTTGTCCTGTACCCACAGCTCCTGTGACGTGGGCTGACACTCTCACAAGGCCTGAGAAGAAACTGAGGCTTACAGTGGTGGAGTGGCCCTCTCAGAGCCATACAGCTAGAAGGGGCAGAGCAGGATATGGACCTAAGCCTGTGTGACTGGATGGGTGAGGACAGAAGCCACATGATTGGGTGTGCAGGCTCTCCTACCCAGTACCTTGGAAGTGGTGGCCAGTCTCTGCTCAACATTGGCAAACAGGCTGGTGGCGGTCTTGTCCTGCTCCCGTAGCCTCTGATGGAGCTGCAGCAGGGCTGCCAGCTGCGAGGTGCTGGTGTTGGCTGTGGCTGTCAGCAAGACATTCCGCATCATCTCTGAGGCTGAGCAGCTCTGCAACAGAACTTAGCAAAGGTGACACATGTATTGTGGAAGGGTTGAGAGGCTGGCTAGACCAGGAGGGGGACTGGGTGGGCTGTGTGGGTCACCAGCCACCATCCAGGACCACGTTTGTTTCTTCTGCTGGGCCTATCTGAGGTCATGCAGGATGGCCATGACCTTTCTTTGAGTTGCTGCACCATGGAGACTCAGGAGTGTATGAACATAGTGTGTGTTCACTGAGCCACAAGAACAGGTGGCCTGAGGTGTGAGTCACAGGCAGGGTCTCTCCTTCTAACCACAAGGTTTCCCCACCCTGTCTGAGGGCAGCACAGCCGGCTGGTGCTTGGATACTTCCTTCCCTAGGATGACAGATAAAGACCCTGCTGGAAGTGTGCAGAGCAAGCTCGTACCTGAGACAGTGCCAGGAACTGGCAGGTGGCCGTGGGGTCCAGGGTGCCGATACACTCCACCATCTCCATGCTGGCAGACGCCGCAATGTCCAGAAGGTTTCCACTCAGGGCAGCCTGTATACACTGCAGCAGCACCTCTGATGCCTGAGCCAGGTACTGCTGGGCCAGCACTACCTTCTTCTGTGGGCATTGCAAGGCTCAGGCTCAGGAGGGCTCTGCAGGCAGAGACCACCATCAAAGGATGGGCAGAAGCACTGCCTACCTTCAGACCCTCAGCTTTCTGGCTTTGCTCCTTGGGGGCTTCCTTGAAGGGGGCTGAATCCCTGGAGGAGGTCTCAGCACTCTTGTCATCTGCTTCTGTCTCCAGTGATTGCAGGCTACTCCGCTTAGCAGCCACCTACAGTGCACAACCCGTGGTCAGCCGGTGTTTGCCAATTCTTACTTAGTCAGTAGGGAAAACACAAAAGCGAGGAAGGGGGACAGAACAGAGATCAGCAGGTCCTGAAAAAGGGAGTCGATGAGGACCTATGGTTTGTGTGGTCAGTGGTGTCACCATTGCGGTGGGAAGCAAAAGGGAGTCTCTCAATCAACCATACCCCAATGAGTGAAATCCATCTCTGCACAGAAGACCTGGGGGCTCTGGCCCAGCTGATCCAGGGAAAGCACCTCTCATATCCTTTCCAAGTGCTGCACTGTTACCAAACCTCACCAGGCCCTGGCCACCAGCAGCCTCAACAGATTCCCCAAAGGACAGAGATCACCTGTGTAATCAGACTCGCAAGCAGAGCAGAAGATGTCTAGTAGAGTACATCAGCCTCAAAGTTAGACAGGAAGAAGTCACAGTAGAGTTTGGAACCATGCAAGCTGAACCAGAGAATGAAAGTTCTACACATTAGACTTATAAGACTTAGAGGGAAAATCCCACTTGGAAAACCAGAAGCCTGGAAGATGGGCAAGCTCGGATCATACTGGTCTTATTCTGTCTGAAGCCTGAGGACTCAGGACAAACCACCTCAGGTGCAGAGCCCAGGGCTATAAGACTACCTCGCTGCAAATGATCCTGGTTTGGAGTCCAGAAACATGGCCTGCTACATTGGATGGGTGGGGGTGGTTCCTTTAGGAATTGTCTTCTGGGGCATCCTGGCTTGTCCACTGAGGCTGATGCCTTCTTGAGGTGGAAGTGCCTCTGCACAGGTGGTCAGGAAGGGAAACTGGGGGCATCCAGGCTTGTAGGGATTGCATCAGGATTCTGAGTGGGCAGGCTGGCTGCTTCTCTCAGAACACCCAGCATTAGAGGAGAGTGGGCCCTAGGAGGATGGGAGGGAAATGTGGCATCTGTCGTTCTCAGAGATTTCTCAGGCTGCATGGTGTGTAGAGGGCAATAAAGGCAGACAACACCCAGTCTGCTACATCTTAGCATGGGAGTCAACAACCTTGGGTCAGGTGTACCCCAGGTCAGTACACGGCATTTTCTGAAGCTCCCAGGAGGCCGTATACAATGAGATAAGAGTCACCCTGGCATAGAGATGTCAGGGCCATACTTTTTTCCTAGCTGAGTTGGTAAAACACCTCTTATAATCCCATTCTATAGCAGAGGGGCAGTGTACCAGACGAGTGGAAAGTAGGGACACCTACCAAGAGGTCCTCCTCCCAGCAGAAGGAAGGGTACACAGGGTCTGTCTTCACTGATAGCAGATGGAGGGCCTTCCCAGCCAGGCCCAGAAGCTGGGCACGGATGTCCACGCAACCTGTGCACAGTGGCTGCAGGCTTTCCAGCTGGGTTAACACCATGTGCGGTAGGGTCCGCTTCAGCGTAAACCATTGCTTCAGGAAGACAAGGAGGTACAGTCACTTCCAATGGCTGTCATGCAACCTCTATCCACCCACCCAGAAATCCCAGATAGCTGCCTTCCAGTACTGCCCAGCAGGGGAACATGTGGGGGCTTTGAGAGCTATGCCTGCCCTATGGAGTCCTGTGTGGTGGTGTTTGGGGTCTCCAGAGCTTAGGCACTGGAAGGGTCATAAAAATTAACTTCCATAACCTGAAACAAGCACTCACTGGCAAATAAAGTTTTACTGTGGGATCGTTTATATCCACACTAAATTAATCTGACTCATATTTCATGGCATCTAAGAAAATGGAAAATGGAAAAAATGTTTCCTTTAAAACATACTCGTGTACTCAACCTTTTCTGTTTGCGGTGCTTGGAGGGAACCCGGGGTGGTGTGTCTGCTAGGCAGGTGCTCTAAGCTATATGCCCAGCCCACAGCACTTTATCATAAATTGAATGCTAACCCCACAGCCTGGGATAGGAAGCTTTAAGGTCACATGGAAGGCCCCCCCACAACTCCTTTACTTATTAGCTAGTTAAGTGCTCCTGGTGATCAGACAGTGCCTGTCTCACCAAGACCTGGGAGTAGCCCAGAGTTGCCACAGCAGGGTGTTCTGGGACCCCAAGGATCTGCACCCTGCTCTGAGTATGACTGTAGACCTGAGTATGTGGCCTGGGCAGCTCCCCAGGAGAGAACATGGACTCAGGGTTGTCCCCCAGACAGTGCCTGTCTGCACCAAGACCTGGGAGTAGCCCAGAGTTGCCACAGCAGGGTGTTCTGGGACCCCAAGGATCTGCACCCTGCTCTGAGTATGACTGTAGACCTGAGTATGTGGCCTGGGCAGCTCCCCAGGAGAGAACATGGACTCAGGGTTGTCCCCCAGTCACCAAGCCGATGGATGAGTAGTCGCCGGTGTTCTGAAGGAAGTCTGCCAGCAGCTTTTCTAAGGAGTCCTGCTCCAGCTGCAGATCCAGTGCCTCCTTGCAGACCAGCTGCACCATGTCTAAGCACATTTCTGCTAGGCAGAGTTTGAGGCGGGCCAACCTCCTCATCTGCGGGGAGTTGACATTCTGTAACTGAGATAATTTGTGGGAGGGTAAAACAAGGCATATTTTCCGAGGAGACCAACCACAGGTTAGCACTTTGACAAGGCATAGCTAGCATGTCACACATGGCACATATGAAGCATAAAATGCATTTATTTATTTTGATGTGGGAATAGACCCCAAACCAAGATAAGAAACACACCCTTTGTAGTCTAGATTCCCCCATGTTGCTTCATGAATCTGTGTTGAGATCAGGCTCTGCCCAACTCTAAGTTTCTCCATATCAGGCAAGTTGGTGATTTTTCAGGCTGTGCAGTGCCCTGAGAGGCTCCATTTCACAAGCAGCTTTTGACTCCATTTTGAGTAGAGAATGACTGAAGTCCTGGGCAGACCCCCAAACACCACCATCTGTCTGACACCACTCGCGCAGCACTGACAGATAAGTGACTTATTCCTAGGGGTAGAAAGTGCCACCCAATACATTTATAGGGTGAATCAAGACCGTGGAGGCACATGGGTATATTAAAATCATATCGGCGAAACCAGGTCCAAGAACTTATTGGACGTGCCAGACCAAGGAAAGGGTATAAATCTTTCATCTGGACCCCATAAAATGGTGAACACCTAACACTGTGATGCCGTGGCTCCACACCAACCTATCATCTAATACTTGGGGTGCGCATCAAGGACCAATAGGCAGAGAACTCCCAACTGCCCCTGGGAATTCAGCTTGTCTCAGTTCCCCGCTGGTGAAAAAGTTAACCCAACTTCCCTCTGCTTGTCTACCAGCTTGCCCATCTGGACCTGAGCCTGCTGTCTCCTGCTCTGCCCCATTCTCTTTTCTCCCAACAGCTGACTATACCCTCATTCTCATACCTGACTCTCCCTTGGCTTCATCTCTACAGCAACAGCATCTTCTCAGTTCTGGGCTCCTTACCTTAATACAGACTCTACTTGCATTTTTCTTAGCTTACCTCTGAAACCTTTAGAACTCTGCTGTAGCCTATATAAATTGTATTCATTCTGCAAAGTGCACATATGCATATGCTTAGATATATTTTTGTGTGATGTGTGATATGAGAGTTAATATTAGTAATTAAGATCATAATTAAAGAACATTTGCCTCCACCAGATTACCAAGGCAGGTGGGATTCCCTGACAAATTGCTGCTAAACCTTGCGAATGTTTTGTTATTCAGTCAGTTCTGACGTTGTGGAGACAAATGTGTTTGTCTATGTTTCTGGCATAGTGCCCTCATGACAGTCTTCTTTTCTCCCAAGTGACAGCCAGCTACTTTGAGGCACTATAATAAATCAGCTTGTATTTTTCTACAGTTTCATATAAATGGCATCATATAGTATATAATAATATTGTGATGTATTTGCTTTACCTCAGTATGACTATTTTAAGATTTGTTCGTATGTTGAAGTGTCAGAAACGTAGACGAATGCATTTACGTCTTTCCAAACGCCAGAAGTGACTGAATAACAAATTCAGAAGGAATGGTGGTTTCAACGGCAACAATTTGCCAGATAGTTCCACTTTCCTTGATAATCCTGGCCAAGGTGAACACAGCTTTCTTATTCTAATTTTAATTACTAACATTAACTTGTATATCACACATTACACATCAACAGTGAATCTATCTATCTATCCATCTATCTATCATCTATCTATCTATATCTGTCATCTATCATCCTATCTATCTATCTATCTATCTATCTATCTATCTATCTATCTATCCTCTATCTATTTGTCTATCATCTATCTATGTAGGTTACAGAATGGCTACAAAGGGCTAAAAAGGCAAGGAGTTTTGGTAGTTTCAAGAGGCCTGGGAAACTGATAGAGATGTAAGACCCTCTGTGTGGATGGGATAACAAACTACAGAGCTGGAGAAGAAGCTAGAGAAGCTATGGTGGCTGTAGGCTGCCAGGTGAGAGCTGAGCTACAGGAGTGAGGGGAAGAGAAAAGCAGGACCAGATGAAGGAACAGGCAGAAAGATGGATGGCAGGTCTGGATGGGTGAACAGGAAGATAGGCACATAGCAAGTGGAGCAGTCCACATTGACAGCAGAGTACACCTCCCCAGTGCTGGAATTACAAGCACCTGCCATTGTATCTGCCTTTTTAAAATATGGATTCTAAGGTTTGAACTTCAGGTTCAATAAAGTGTACTTTACTGACTGAGCTGTATATCACAAGTCCCTGTATATCGGTTTCCTAGTATACAGGTTTTTGTGCATATATACTGCTCTCGCTCTCTCTCTCTCTCTCTCTCTCTCTCTCTCTCTGGTATGTGTGTGAAGACTCGGTGTGTGTGTAGCCCAGGCTGGCCTAGAACTCTCCATTCTCTGGCCTCAGCCTCCCACGTGCTGGGATTACAGGCATGCTCCACTGCACCTGGCTGGTTTGTTTTGAGACCATTTCTGGTACAGTGATTATCTCCCCCTGAGAATGACTGGGATGTGCAGGCTCCTACTTACATCTTGAAGGGACAACAGCCCCTGAGTTCTATGAAATAGTTCTTCTTCCTCAGCCACAGCTTTCTGGGCCAAGTCATATGCTTCCAGGTAATAGGCGTATTTCTGTTCCTCATCGTTCTCATTTTGGGCACGTAGCCTTTGTAAGACATAAAATGGAATTTACAACAAAGATGTTAAAACTAATATATATTAATATGTTACACTGATTAATAAATACTACATAATTTCTACATAGTTATACTACATATTTTATTAGTACCTAAGTTTTGTAATTAAATGTGAAAACTGAGATACTCTCAATATATTTTATTTATTTTGTGTGAGTTTATGTGTGTATATGTGTTAATATGTGTGCATATGGAGGTCAGAGGTCAACCTTGGGTACTGGTCCTCAGCCATCACCCACCATTTTTTGGAGATAAGGTCTCTCACTGGGTCTGGAACTCTCCAAGCAGTCAAGACTGTCTAGTTATCAAGTCCCAGGGACTCACTTTTCTCCGCCTCCCCGGTGCTGGGATTGCAACATAGCAGAACGGGGGACAGAGAGAACAGTAATACATCCCTCAACTCTCATCGACGAAGCTTCTTTATACAACACTGTGATGCACACAAAAATGGCCAGAACTGGCCAAATTGTAGAGAATAAGACTGCAGAGTGTGTGTGTCCCTGGATACAACTCCTATATTAAACCTCATCCACCCATGGCTTAGGGACCATTGTGGAAGAGGGGGCAGAAAGATTGGAAGAGCCAGGGTTGGTGCAAGAACATAAGGAAACAGAGGCTTTCAGGCCACTGGGAACCTGCTCATATGAACTTGCAACAGTGGTGACAGTGTGCACAAGACCCATGCTGACTCAATCGACAAGAACTCAGCATAGAACTGGGGAAATGGGCAGCAAGTCCCAACTTTAGCTAGGGAACTATCGGCAACTGACTGTGGAGGGGTGAGGGAGAGTAGATCTTCTTTAAGGGAGTGACTCTAGATAGGCTGACTAGACTCCAGTGGATGGACTAGCACCCAGGGACATCTGGGTACAAATGCTTGCCTGAAGAGGCCTTAACATATATGACAGAATGCATGAAATTCAGTGTGGGGGGTGCAGGTGGGAGACGGGGGGGGCAAATTTGATTAACATTTATTATATGACATGCACAAAACTCAATAAAAATATACATTTAAAAAAACAAGTGCACACCCCATACATGGGTTTTAGGGATTGAAGATCAGGTCTAGGTGCTTGCAAAGCAAGTGTTTTACCAACTGACTCATTTCCCCAGCCTTCTCAATAGGTTTTTAAACAAAGATACAAAACAGTTGGAATAAACAAAGTGCATTCAGTATGTGACTTTGTTCCTAAAGAACCTGCGTCTGAAAGGCATCCGATGAGACAGTCCTGCAATGCCCACCTGCTGGCTCAATCACCTACCTTCCTGCCATCCTGGTGACCTACAGTTGTGCCACAACACACCTGCAGTAGTGGACGTGACTTGGGTTAGAATTGGGTGCTGACTGATTCTCCTACTTAAAGGGCAGAGGTATACCTATCCAGGATTTGCTCAAGTGTAAAAGGCATGTGGGTGTCCAGGACAGGCAGAAGTACTGTGAGGAACCAGTGGGGGTTGACTAGATGCCTGTCAGGATGTATGGTTGTGGTAGCAGCAGGAACAGCTGCTGGGGACCCTGCAGGACTGCATTGGTGGGCTGGTGAGGGGAGAAGGCTGGGGCTAGCCATGTCTGAGGCTGGGCAGGAGTAGGGACCATCTGGGCAATGCTCCCAGATGAATCCCGCTCAGAGGGCAGAACCTCAGGAAGCTCCCCTGTCACAGGTGGAGTACGTGGCGATGCCTTACCTCTTTATCCTCGCATGCTCTAGTTTTAAATCAACACATTTTTTCTTGTAGCCACCGAGTATAAAGTTGTCTTCAATTTCCAACAGGCGCTCTTCTAACTCTGTCAGCAAAAATGGGGACTCCAGTTCCTTGTCAATCAAGCTGCAGGCAACTTGGATTTGAAGTCTCACACACCTGCCAGAGAGGTACCTCTTCAGGGCTGTGGGGGCTGAAGTTTATCCTCCACAGTCAGATGCTCAAGACCACAGAGACCAGTTTCTACCCAGGGTTGCTAAATTAAACACAGTTGGGACTTTTTCCAAAACCAGAAGTCATTCACCCAAGGGAAACCACTGCTTACAGACCCAAATCAGGACAGGCTGGTGGGACACAGAAGTGTGGACGTTGGGACAGTGGGGACAGCCACCTGAGGCTCACAGCACTTCACAGAGTGGAATCAGAAGCCCAAACAAGACAAGCATCCCTGCTGCTGGGGTCCACCAGCTTAGCGAGTTCCTAGAAAAGGGCCTGAAACGTGTGTGGAAAAAGTGGGGTTCCCTGATAGCCCTCCACTGGGAACAGGGCCTGGAGGCTTCCACAGCTGTGGGGAAGACATTGTGGAAACACAGACCAACTGTGAGGAAGTCCCCAGCTCCTCTGAGGCACATGGTGGAAGCAAGGCCTGCTTCTCAGAGGAATCTAAGAACACATGGGTCACGTGGGGCTGGAAGGGATGCACGGCCCTACTGGGTCTGAGCCTCCCTATGTTTGACATATACACAACACAATAGGACCTGTGTAGCAAAAGTAACCATTGCTTTGGCATAGCTGGCTCGGTTACCTGGCCTCCAGCTCCATGGTAAGGAATTCCAGCAAGGGTACTCGGTTAGGCCTTTCTTTCTGGAGGACCTTGAACACATCTATGAGTTTCTGCAACAGGCTGCAAACCTGGATGTGAAGCATCATGAGCATCACCATGTCACTCTGCAGTGCCAGAAGACGAGGCCCCAGCCACTGCCCCTACAATGTGCCCGCTGTTGTCCACCAGCCACTGGCCTCACCATGACTTCTTCTTTGCTGTCTTTGGAAGACAAGATCGCTTCGGTCATAGTCAGGGTGGAATTATACCAGAACTCCTCAGCTCCACCCAACATCTGGGCCCTCTCAGTCAAGGATATAGCTTGTCCGTGGTTCTTTTCCTTGTTGGCCAACTGTGCTAGAAGCAACAGGCACTGTGACTCTGCACACGTATCACCAAGCTCCTAAAAATAGGGATCGATGGGCAGATAATAGAGAAATGGGTAGGCAAATAGGTAAATAGATGCACAGTTCCATTCAGGACAGGGTGGCTACTGCCTGGGAGTGGTAGTTCTCTGGAGCGGACTGGCACTGTCCCCCTGGAGCCACAGGTGAAAGCCTGTGGCAGGACTGCTGCCCACTCTGGGTGTCCCACTGGCAGCTTCTCTCTGACTTTGCTGCCTGGTTTCAGCAGCCCCTCCTTGTGGATGGATCTGTAGCCCTGTAGCTCCACTCAGCTGCTCAGGGCATAAGCAGAGGGCCTATGGTAGTCCTACCTAGACCCGAGGGAGGTTCAGGCCTAAGTGTAGACCAGAGAGTGTCCTTTAGAGGTGGGTATGTTGTGACCCATCTGGACAGATCAAGACCAACTCCTTGGGCCTCCCAGGCTCTTGTTGGGCCCCATCCCTATATCTTTGCAGGACCTTCCAGGGGTCAAGACTCAAGGCCAAGTTCACATGGAGACATTCCTTGGTGCCTAGAAGGGTTCTAGCAACTCACAGAATCTAGCTTTATCTAGCCTGAGTAGCTGTGTGGCAAATAACACAGCTAAACACAAATTACGTTAAACACAAAGGGAGGGAGCAGGTTCTGGGAGCACAGGACACTACTGTCCCCACAGCAGGAAGGCTGAGTCTCAGGCACAGGTTTTGTTTTGTTTTATTTGAGTCAGGGTCTCCCTGCATCCTCAGCTGGCTTAGAACTCACTACGTAGACCAGGCTGGCCTCGATTTCAGAGGTCTATTAGCCTCTGTCTCCACTGCTGGGATTAAAGTGGTATGCCCCCACACTTGGCTCATAGGATGTTGCTTTCTGAGAAAATGTGAAGCCATGTGCATTTTTGGACAAAAACAGGTAGGTAACCCTCCCATACTCCCAAGACACAGGATGCTAGCTCTGCCCTGCCATGTGGAGCAGGGACAGGTGTGGTCTGGGAAAGGCACGGCTTTCCTGGCTGCTTGAGCTGCTGGTCTCTGAGGGGGGTGGTCCACTTGACCATCCCATACATTCAGATGCCATTGACTGGGGGAGAGAGTGGGCCAGATGTCTGCAATCCTGCCTAGCATATGTCCTACCTGAACACTACAACTGCCTTAGGATGGTATGAGGGTGTGCTGGGCTCTGGGTCCACGGGGCAGTCTGACTAGATACTTAGAGGCTGTCTAGGAGTGGAAGGTGTGCTTCTTTTCTGCAGAGTATTTTCAACTTCTGGACTTGACCTTGGCAAGAGGATGCTGAGCTCCAAGGTAAGGGAAGCAGGGGCCCCAGTGGGCCCAGAGAGCAAGGCTGGCACACAGCCAAGATGAGGCCCAGTAAAGGCCAGGCTCCTGGTGGACAGGTCCTGGGTAGGCAGCGGGACCCAGGCACAGTGGGTAGAACTCTTTATGCAACAAGGATGGTATAGAGCCCAGTAGGGCTGTTTACCTGGGGCAGAAGGATGATAGGAGTTTGTGGGGCGGAGATGGGATCCCCGGGTACTAAAGCCCGGGTACTAAAAGTTCATGGCAAGAGGGGAAAGTCCCTCCGGATTCCCCCGACCAGAGTCGTCCCTAAATGAGAAGTGACCCCAAGAGGTCAGAACGGAGGACAGAACCCTAAGAGTTGGACGCTACAAGGAAGGACAGCACAAGAGAAGCATCAGCCCTGGCCCTGTACTGGACACCAGTCCAGTGAGAATAGGGCATGGGCGTCAGGGCAGCTCCTGGCTGTAGTGGGTTAAGGGCAAAGTGGAGAGGTGTGGATGTAGACCCCAAGGATCTACAGCAGTGACAGCAGAGTACTGAATGCACTGAGTCTAGCCTGCCTGTCAGTCCAGAGGCCCACAGCTTAGTCCTTTCTGGGACAGGCTATCTGGACTCTACTGTACCCAACTGTTCCCCTCCTGACAGCTGCATACCTGTCTCCTCCCTCCACCTGAATACCTATCCCCTCCCTTCACTTGCACACCTGTTCCCTTCCCTGGTACCTAGACATCTGTCCCCTCCCCAACACCTGCACACCTGTCCCCATCCTGACACCTGATTGCCTGTTCCTTTCTCGACACTGATCCCCTTCCCTGACACCTGATCATCTGACCCCATCCTGACACCTGCACACCCGTCCCCTTCCTGACACCTGACCACCCTTCTCTCTGACATTGGCTCACCTGTCCCTTTCCCAACACCTGTACACTTGTCCCCTCCCCAGCAGCTGCACTCCTACTTTTAGTATATGGGACAGAGTCTGGGCTCAAAGCATTCTGGTGTCACTGGAATTTTCCATCACTGGTAGGTCTTCCTCTTTCCCTGGAATTCTTCAGAACAAGCCAACGGCTCGCTGTGTCAGCAGGCCCTTGGCCTCACCTGCCCACTAAAAGCAACTCTAAAGTCTGTCTTCAGGGATTTGGGAAGCTGGGGAGGAACTATGCCATTAGGGCAGGCAGAACACAAGCAGCTTCCTCCAGCTAGACTGTCCTGAGGGCAGCTACCCTGCTGAACGCAGTTTGGAACTTCTAGAGTTGAGACCAGAGGGCCCCAGGTCTGGGTGCAAGTGTTCCTATTGGGCAGCTGCTCAGGGAAGAGCATCCAGTGCTTCCGAGCCTGCTGAGAGCTGGGTTACTGTGCAGTGCCTGCATGGGGGTGCTAATTCAAGCCTTTCTGAGGGACTCAGTAGAGACACTGGGAAGGTCACAGATACCAGTGAGGTCCTCAACTGAGGAGTGAGGACATGAGGGTGGGACACCCTACCTGGAAAGCCTGCTGGGCCTCTGACAGGAGCAGCCGTGCTGGTTGGTGTAGCTCCATGTCTAGCAGGACCTCTCCCTTGAGCATCCATAGTTGAGGGTAGGAAGTCCCATCCAGGCCCTTTCCAGTCTCTCCATTTAGCTTCAAAATCTGTGAGATGACATGATCCAAAATGCTGTGCCCCATCTGTGTCCCATGACATGCCCTGGCTTAGAGGCACAATGAAGGCCCTGTGAAGCCAGTGTACAGCAAGGTATACTGCCACAGGGGCTTTCCCAGCATTCTTTGCACAGACTTTCAGGCCCCTGGCTTCTGCTTATCTCCCTTCTGACACACCCAGGTCTTTGGGATCCCTAATCTCTGCTTATTCACCCCTTCTACCTACCCTCTTAAGCCTACCATTAGCTGTTTATAGTGGCTGCTGTGCTACTTGGCTTGGCAGTCATGCTTCTCTGTGAGCTGAGCTGGGTAGAAGTTTCTGGGGTTAGTGGGCCTGACTTGTTGATAGCTGTGTGTGCTTTTCCACTCTCTGCGTACCTGTTAGCCGCCCCCTGGCCAGCATGGACAAGTCACTGAATCCTTCCTTGTAGCTTAGCAAGGTACAGGACTCTCAGCTGTCCTGGGCTCAGATCCCATAACCAAACCCAGGTGTGTGGCGGAAGCTGCACACTCCGAGGCCCAGTCACTTTCTATTACACTGGAAATGCTGACTTTAGTGGGCTCACAAACAGAGCTGGCACTCTGCACATCCAGGGTTCTTGGTGGAAGAGAATGGTCTTTTGAATGGTTACTTTCTATCCTGTGCATCGACTGAAGGGGACAGCCAGTTGGTGATAAGAGGCCAGCCAGACCCCGAGACATGTTCTGCTCCACAGAGAACAACTCCCTCTTCGCTGCCCTCTACCTGCGCCCAGGGCCTCATGCATGCTAGGCAATCAGCAATTTAGCTGCATCTCTAGCCCCCTGACTCTCATTTGCTGTCCAGGCCCCTGTAGGCCTGTTCCATAGCAATCTATTATGCATATACATTTTGCCATCCCTGGGAACTTCCAGGGTCCCAGGGTAGGACAAACTTGATCAGGTTCCTGAGTTTCCCACAAAACCTGGCCCAAGAGTGTATGCAGTAGTCATTTAATGAATCAACTCTGGCTCACTAGTTCCTGCTGCAATCTTAGGCTACAGCCAAGTCAGTGTCACCTATGGACTGTGGGTCCCTCTGTGGCAGAGCCAGGCTAAGTCAGTGTCACTCCTGGGCTGCAGATCCCACGGTACATAGACAACTTACCTTGTCTTGTGCTATCAGGGGCTTCACCTTCACAGGATGCGATGGAGCCAGCTGCTCATGCAGGGCTGGCAGACTGTCTTCTATCCCAGGTTCCTTGTTCTTCTCTTTTTTAAATGCCAGCTCTTTTCTGCAGCTAATTGAAGCAAAGTAAGCAGCATGCAACAGAAGAATTGCAATGGCTGGTGCCAACGATCAATTTCATTAGTAGTCAAAAAAAAAAATACAAATTA